GACAGAGCTCTGGATACCACGATGAGAGTCCAAAAGGTGACTCTCCACGAGCGCGCAGGGAAGGGTACGTCGAGGGATCAGGCGGCGACGGGGAGAGGCTAGAGGTTGATCAGGCCCCTGTATCCTTCTTAAGGCACACGCTGGGTTCGTTAAGCTCCACAGCGCGCTTAGAGTTCTTCACGAGATGTGAAGTCCTCCTTCTCCTCCTCCAACTTGGGCGGAAACCGCTCAAGCCTCTTATACGGCTAGCAAGCCAATCGCTAGCCGCCACGTGGGAATAATTTAGAAACAGCCAATAGTGGGACACAAATTTACATACGGGTGGCGGGAACTCCTTTGCACCGGGGTTTTCTCTATGCAACTGAGAATTGCACCGTGCAAAGAAAGCTCCATGTGGCGGGAAATAATTCTGCAGTGCCGAAGCACACACACAATCATACCCTTTGGGTCATGACAGGGGTCAAGACCCAAATTCTGTTCTTGTCATGTTATGATGTGTAAAATGACAGGAAAAGGCTAAAGGGCTCTGTAAGCCTTCTGATGACCCTTTATAAGACCAGGTATAGAGGTCATACAAGGGGTGGGATTGCAGTATGCAGCACTGTTGAGTTTTGTGGACAGTGTTGTAGTCCATGGTGTTGCTGTAATATAATCAGCTATCTCAGTTTACACTGGAAGCCCTTCTAGCCCTTGGAGCAGTTTGGGAATATGAGGACACAAATATGACTTGAAGTATCGTAAGCCTTGGTTCTGTGCTGCACCTCCTGAGAGCACAGCAGATAATCCACTTCCTTCTTTTAAGATTTCTTAGGACCTTCAGGTTGTGCTTAACTTTATAGAACCCTATATTGTGAGTTATTGGGTTCTGGTAGAACAACTATACTATGCAAAAAAGAGTTTGCAAACCCTTGCTCTCATTTTCCAAAGAAACAAGCAAGTACACATAAATAAGACTGCATAAGACCACTGCACAAGCTTCTTTCTTACAAGTCGTATTTGTGACAAATATGTTGCCATGTTGCTCAATGCTTTCTTAGAAGGCTCTTAAGTGCTATTGTGGTAAGTGGGACAGATGATGAAAGGCTAAAGTACTCAATGCCTTTTTTACCTCAGTCTTCACAGGCAAGATCAGCTCCCTGACTACTGCAGCTGCCAGCACAGTTCGGGGAGAAGGTGAGCAAGCCAACAGTGGCAAAAAAAGCAGTGTAGGGACTGTTTAGTAAAACTGGACATGTACAAGTCCATGGAGCCAAATGTGATACACCTGAAGGTGCTGAGGGAGTTGGCCAATGAGATTGCAGAACTATTATCTTTGAAAACTTGTGGCAGTTGGCAGAGGTCCCAGGTGATTGGAAAAGGGCAAATATAGACACTGGACACTGATGTGAGCGGCAGGGTGCTGGTGAATGGGTTTCAGACCAAGCTCATCACAGTGGAGTTGAGCGTCCAGCAGGGTTGTCTACTGAGGAACACTGCCTACTGGATCTTGTTCATCTGTGCAATAGATCTGCTAGCCCAGAGGCTGAGGCAGGATCCCAGAATACATGCGGTGTAGGTCCCCAGAGAAAAATGGGAGGAAGCAAGTGTCCCATCCTGCATGGATGACCTTGATGTTCTGTATATAGACAAGTGGTCAATTCAAAATGTACTGCAGCACATACAGGTACATGGAGCAGTGGCAGAGGCAAAGCTCAATGTGAGCAAAAGCACATGCCTGGGTGAGCTTGGGGACCTGTCAGCCCTGAAAGGCTTCATCACCTGCAAGGGTGTGATGATTCTTAGGATGGAGGTCGACCCAGAGCTGACTGGACAGAGAGTATGGGAAAAGATTGAGGCCAAAGTCAAACAAAAACTGGGACTGTGGCACATGCATTGCCTGTCAATAGGGAGGCGCATGACATGCATGAGGGTGGTGTTGCTACCGGTACTTCTGTACACTGCACTAGCCTTCCCCCACTCAGAGCAGATTGTCCACACAATCCAGAGGGCTATGTGCATCTTTTGGGGCTCCAGACGGGAGAAAGTGGTGAGGAAAACCTTATACAAGCAAAACAGACAGGGGGCTGAGGAATGCCAGACATCCTACTATTTCTTTGGGCCAAATACACAAGCCAGATCTGTAAACTGGCAATCAGGGAAGGGTCTTAAACAGCCTGCCTCATGAAATATTTTTCAGGTCACACATTACGATATTGAGGGATACATATATAACACCACACATGAACCTAGCCTCCTGGGAACCACTGGTTCTACAGAACCAGTCCACTTAGCTATTATTCTGTATGTCAGTGGCACAAGGCAAGGGGAAAAACAAGGACTTTTTCCTAAGATGAAAAGTCCTAGCCTATATAGTCTCTATTTTAAAGCCTGTCCTTGTGCTTCATCACAATTGTTGTCCTTCTCCCTACCCTTTCTAGTTTGACTTAATGGAGGTGGGGGAGACCAGAAGTGCACACTTTATTCAAGATGTGGATGTATCATTGATCTATACACTGGTATAATGATGTTTTCTGTTTTGTTTTAATCCCCTTAGTAATTTCTGACATATTACCTGCATTTCTGGCTTCTGGTGATGCTTCCAGAGAACTATCTGCAATAATTCTAATATCTTTCTTGAATTGCAACAGCTAAGGTAGAACCTGTCATTGTGTATGTGCATCTTGGGTTATTCTTTTCCACATGCATCATGTCGCACTATTAGCATTGAACTTTATCTGCCATTTTGTTGTCCATTCATTCAATTTTACCATCTCCTTTAGCAGTCTTTCACAATCACCTTTGTTTTTTCCATCCTAAATAATTTGGTGTCGTTCACAAACTTAGCTTCACTATTCATAAATGGTCACTAAAGGGACATGAATACATTAAACAGCACAGGCCTGAGCTGAGACCCTTGGGGGACCCCATGGCTTTCCCCCCTCCATTGTGAGAACTGCCTGTGCTTATAGCT